CCCTTGAGGTCTTTGAACGGCGGCTGTTTTGTATTGCCGTATGAAACCCCATTGACCTAACATATTCTTGACAGAACACTAACGCTTCCTCATGCCATTCAAATTCCATACCAACTAGTGGCTCAAGATTTACATCTTCTTTAAACTCCCCACATCAAATTCCGGTTCTGATTTCACTGTGATTATGGCGCCAGGCACTGTATACTGGCCGGCCGGCCGGGATTCCATACCTTCAAAGAACTAGTCCTCTACAATAAAATCCCAATAACAAATTAATTAGTAAGCAATTTTAAGATTACTAGTCCAACTAAAAGTGTGGAAGCAACAAATGGAGCACAAGCAAAGTGAAGCTGAAAAAATTATTAAATATAATTTGATCTGAAAAAATTAAAAAAAAAAAAAAATTTACAAATTAAAGACCATAAAGGTATTCCGGCCTGATATGGCTCAAGAAGAGAAACAAAGTATGTAATAGATACACCGAAAGATCAAATCAGACTTTAGAAAGAAAATAAAAAAAAATGAAAAATAAAAAAGAAAGAAAGAAAGAAGACATATACATTAATAATCATGAAAGAGCTGAGGTGATCCGATTTTACAATGTTGGATCCACAATTTCATAGAAAATCTAGCTTTAAAAAAATCTTAGGTATATTCTTATCTTTAAAGAATAAAAAAAAAATTGAAACAATCAAACAAGGCATCAAAAGATTATCAATCTAAAAAAAAAAAGAAACTTTTATTTCAATGGATGAACAAAAAAATCTCAGACATATATTTCTAAAAAAAAAAAAATCTAAGACATTTACACTCAATATACATTAGACATGAAAGAGGTGAAACATATTGGGGTAAATGAATAACAAACAAAAGTTCAACCTTAGATGAAAAAGAGAACTCACATGACACCAATCAAGCAAAAAATTATTATTGGAACAATGTTGTCCCCATTTTTGAGATTGTGTACTCATTGTTGTGGTGAATACTGAAGTTTAGGCAACATTATATAGGAGAGAAATCTGTTAACGTTACTACTTTTTGCTGACATAAGCTCTTACGTCAAAAAAAGATTTTTTTTTTTTGTATTTGGAAAAATATCTCATTCCACAAATTTATGGAAATTCCATAAAATGTTCCAAAACAATTTCTCTAATTTTAGAAAATTTTAAAATACCTTTTTTCAAATATAAATATGACAATAAACAATTAATATTAATGCAGAAATGAATTTTTTATTTTATCTTTTAGTAAATACACACACACACACACACACACACACACACACACACACACACACACACACACACACACACATATATATATATATATATATATATATATATATATATATATATATATATATATATATATTTTTTTTTTTTTTTAATATTTATACTTTTCTCACATGTTTTGTATCTTAGGATTCTTGCTCTCATTTTCCGTTTCCATGCAACCTAGACCGGCACTCAACCGGTTCGTAGGGATGCAATGGGTCGGGGTGGGTTGGGGATTCCTACATCCACCACCCGACCCACCGTTACACTTCTTCACCCAACCCCACACCCACCCTTGCTGAAAATACACCATTAGGGTTTTTTTTTTTTTTTTGGGTGGATATGTGCATTTCATTCTGGTGCATTTTTAGACACTGTTTGGTGCATTTATGGATACCTAATGTTGAAATCTGTATCGACCGCACGAGAAGTCCTGTCCTCATTTGAACCAGTATATATATATATATATATATATATATATATATATATATATATATATATATATATTATTTGAACCAGTATATATCTTGGTGGGTCGGGTTAGATTTTGTACGGGTTTTGTATATAAAATCCGTATACAATCCGATCCGATATTCGCGGAGTGAATTGAAATTGTTACCCCTACTGGTTTGGCACTTTTAATCATTTTTCTCAGATTCCAACATTCAAACATAAATATTTGTGTAACATTTGTCATTAAGAAAAACATATAATGAGATTATCACTTCTTTCTGTTGTTATTCCTAGTTTGTAATATCTTATTACTATCCGATAATTAACAAAACAAAATTTATATCATGAAAATTAATAACCAAACATGTCACACAAGAGAGAAGGTTTGATAAGCATTAGTTTTTCGGTAGTCCTCTCAAGTTTCAACTGGAGCACAAATGATAAGCATTCAAATCAAAATCCTAACATGCAAGGAAATCTAGGATAGTTATGCTGTGGGCTCGTGCCCAGCGTGCATCATGGGCACGGTAACGGTGTCGTCAGGCACCGTTATCTTCCCTCTTTTTTTTTTTTTTTTTTTTTTTTTTTTTTTTTAATTTCAGACCGCTTCGTTATAGGAGCATATATTCACAGCTTTGTGTTCATAATTTCATAACTGTACATTCATAAAACTATACATTCATAATTCCGTAACTGTACATTCATAATTCAATAACTGTAAATTCATAATTTTCGAACCTCTATGTTCATAATTGTAAGTTCATAATGTCAGAGTTCTATGTTCATAATTCCATAACTGTACATTCATAATTCCATAACTGTACATTCATAATTCCATAATTGTACATTCATAATTTTTCATACTGTATATTCATAATTCCATACCGAACATTCATAATTTTCGAAGCTCTATGTTCATAATTGTATGTTCATAATTCCATAACTATACATTCATAATTCTATAACTGTACATTCATAATGTCATAACTGTATATTCATAATTTCATAATGAATATGCCGTTAACGCCGTTAACGGCGTTTCGAACAATTTTTTTTTTTATAGTTAAAACAGCGTCGTTTTCACGAAAAACGACGCCGTTTTAGCGCCGTGCGCATAGCATAATTTGCCGGAAATCTATGTTGGAAAAAATAGCATCTTAAGTAGCTATTTTGTGGTGCAAATATTAGTGGGGTCCACTTCCGATTTGGGTTGGGTCAAAAGTGGATTTGGGTTCTTCGTAGTGAGACGAAGAGATTGATATATTGTATGCTCAAAACGGATAATGGGTGAATGGAATATTGATTCTCAAAGTAGACTCATTGGAGTTGGAAAATGAAGGGAAAAAGTGAAGCTTTTGTCCCACATTGATTTGGGAAGTGGATTTGCACCATTATTTATACAAGAGCTCTTTTAAGGATTATTGAATTGTATAGTATAAAGGTTCTCTTTCGTGCGTGCGTGCGCGGGGTGGGGGGATTTATACGAAATCTTAAAGTGAGCATCTGGTTTAAACTTGTGTAATTTATACCAACAGATAGAGCCAGAGCCGGCCTCCGACACCTGCGGGCTAATTGAGACACCGGCCTCCTAATTTAGTATCGAAAAAGAGACACAACACTTTAGTATCGAAAAAGAGACACAACACAGAAATCACTTTAGTATCGAAAAAGAGACACAACACAGAAATCACGTTTCCCTATCTCTGCCCGTGCTCTAGTTCGCCGGGGCCTAATTTAGTATCGAAAAAGAGACACAACACAGAAATTACGTTTCCCTATCTCTGCCCGTGCTCTAGTTCGCCGGGTTCGTTCGTTTGGGTGCTCAAACGTACGTTTGAAATCACGTTTCCCTATCTCAGGGTTCGTTCGTTTGGGTGCTCAAACGTCGAATCGTATGTACGTTTGAAATCACGTTTTCCTACCTCAAAACTCTGCTCTTGTTCCGTTCTTGCCGATTGTGTTCTGCCCGTGCTCTAGTTCGCCGGGTTCGTTCGTTTGGGTGCTCAAACGTTGAACCGTATGTACGTTTTATCCTGGGAAGCCTAGGCCACAACGCTCCTAGCACTTTTGAGATGTGGCAAATAAGGTATTAAGCTAAGGAAAAAGAGTGTTTCGCTCGACTCGTACTTACCACTTTTCTTCATCTTCTTTCTTCTCCGGTTTTGGGATTATGCTTTTAAGCAATAAATCCTTACTTCGTTTCCTTTAGGTTGGAATTATAATTTGTGGATTATAACTTTTATATATATATATATATATATATATATAGGGTTGCATTCACATGCAAACCCTCTTGATATACAAACGTGTGTACAAAATCTAGCCATAGGATGTGATTGGATCAATGGATTAGATGAAGGCATATGACTGAAACACGGATTGTTAATTAATGTAGATAAGGGCAATATTGGGAATGCATTCTCACCGTAAAAAAAGAAATAAATTGAATTTAAATAGGAATAAATTTGATTTGTATAATATGCAAGAATTAAGAAAGTTTTAAACGGGTAGGATTTGAAGTCATCCCTGGCAACGAAAACCTTTACAGTTCATCATGTTAATATTCACTTCTATCCGTGTGTGCATGGTTGCTAATTTTGTGTGCGTGGATTAAAACAATAGGTTATGTATTAGCACTGACGTTTGGTGGACGAACAATGGTGTAGTAGTTAGTGCGTCGTTTTGTGCACGCCTTCAAAAATATATGTGCATGGTTGAATCCTTGTGTTTTTTATGAATTAGTAATGATAAGTGCGATGTGAAAAAAATTAGGCCGTTATTACTATTATGTGTGTGCATTAATTACCAAACAATATTAACTCTGCAGATACAAGCTTGTCTTTGTACCATTTACGGGGGTGGACAACCATAAGAGGTGTGTTACGTTTGGGGCAGGTCCCATTGCAAAAGAAGATGTGGAGTCGTATGAGTTGCTATTAAAAAGCTTCAAAACTGCGATATATTTAAAACAATACGAATACTAAATTCATTTGAAGTTAAATTAAATAGTCGTCAAACTTTTGAATTTTACCCATGGATGTTATATATTTAGTTAAGTTATGCACACTGCTTAACGCCAATGTGCATGCACGTGTTTTATTACTAAGCCTATAAGCTAATAGTGAACTACTCACTTCTGTGAAATTTATTAAGTGTGTACCCATGGTTAAAAGTTATTTAGTTGTGCACGCACACTATTTAACGTCAATGTGCACTCATGTATTTAAAAACTAAGCGTATACGACAATATTGGACTAGTCTCTTTAGAGTTGTACCCATGGTTGGTACTTAATTAGTTGAGAGCTATGCACACTGTTTCTTTAGAGTTGTACCCCTGGTTGGTACTTAATTAGTTGAGAGCTATGCACACTGTTTCTTTAGAGTTGTACCCATGGTTGGTATTTAATTAGTTGAGATCTATGCACACTGTTTAGCACCATTGTGCATACACACTTGTAATTACTAAGCCTATAAACTAATAATGAACTACTCACTTCTGTTAGATTTATTTAGATTTTACCCATGGCTGAAATTTATTTTGTTGCAGACGCACACTATTTAAAGCCAATGTGCAATCACGTATTTTAAAACTAAGTGTATAAGATAATATTGAACTAGTCTCTTTTGTGAAAATCATTTACTTTTTAACCATGATTAAAATTTGTTTAGTTGTGCATGCACACAGTTTAACGTAATTGTGCACACATGTGCTTATTAACTAAGCCTACAAGCTAATATTTCAACAGTCACTTATGTAAATTTAGTTAGTTATTATTCACGGTTGAAAGTTATTTAGTTGAGTGTGCACACATTTCAATGCCAATGTGCATGCATGTATTTAGCTATGCCTACATGCAAATAGTGAAGAAGTTATTCTTTGTGGAATGTTTTTAGTCGTGCATGCACGCAGTTTAATACCAATAGACAAATAGTGAAGTAGGCACTTTTATGAATTTCATAGAGGTGTGCGTGCACACAGATTACCACCACTTTGCACACACATATTCATTTAGTAACAGTATAAGCTAATACTCAACTAGCCACTCCCGTGAAATTAAATGAGTTATTATCCATGATTGAAATGTATCAAGTTGTGTCGGCTTGCACATACCGTAATATAAATGTGCGCATTCGGTCATCATCTCAAAACAGTAACACCGGCAGTGGTATAAAAACCAAAAGAAGAAGCCAAATTCTAAACACAAAAACTACATACGAACTAAAATTCAATACACCAAGCACACGAAAGATCACTATGGTGCCCCCGGGATAGACGACACGATCTGATACGCCAGGAGATATTCCTAGTTTCCTACAATTATGTAGATTGAATTCTGAGGTTGCAAGTTTCTTCATGTAGCGTAACCTCAACTTCTTGAGCTGAGCAGTGTTACCTTTGGCCACATCTTCATCTGGTCACTCCCTGTCCTACATAACTCTCCATGTGACGCATAACATACACCCCACAGTCAACCTTGTTCTTGCCATCCCGCCAACTCATCTACATGCGCTTCGATTCCAAACACGCACAAACCGAAGACCTTGCCGGTTCAATAGATGCGAAGAATTCCATACGCATGATCAACTGTAGTAGATGTCCATATGGCCGAATGAATACAAAGAAAAAACGAAAAACGAAAAGTTGTACAAGTAGAAGACCCAGAACAATAGAAACCATACCAATTCTTCCGGACAATTACCATATTTTAGTTGCTTGTCAGACTGAAGAGTCGAATTGTCAATTATCTCATACCGAAATTTAGAAAAATCAATGCACAGAAGAAAGTACTGGCCCTGGCGTAGGATGGGGAACATAAACTGCAAAAAGCAATGGTGAACCAATGCAAAAAAACACAATGATTAAAAGCAATGCATCCCACGAGAAAAAGAACTTAAACCTACACAGGTGTGTGCACACGAGACTAGCATAGTGTGCACGGAAGAAAGACAGATGGCGGATTGGAAGAGGATACACACCTTAAGAGTAATCCTATAACAAATATATGAGATTTAAAAAGACTGACCTACAAATTTGTAGAAACCCATCTATCAATTGGGTGCACAAGAGACTAACATAGTGTGCACAGAAGAAGACAGATGGCAGATTGGAAGCGGATAAGCACAAACCACAAAAATAACGTATACGGTATGCCAAATTGAACTACACAGTGCACACACCTTAACGTAGCCCGTATTTATGAATATTGTTAAATGTATAAGATTGCATTAATTATAAGGTGTAACTCGGTTATGAGCACTATAAATTGAAAATGCCCTTCCAAACATAAAAAAAACAAATGCATAGTATATGCTTTACAACTTATAACAATGACTAATAATACTGGGATTAATGTTGCATTTACTATTAATAGCAATGATTATCTAGCTAGTGAACACTACTGCAGGATATCTCATTGGACTCATAGTTAATTTGCAATTATATAAAATAATAATAAGCTTAATAGCCAATCATAATGATGTTTGAAAGGACTGTATTTTCACTCTAAAAAATGGACAATGAAATGAAAGTGAAAGTGATGTCTAAAGAATTGAAAGGCCAGCCAAAGTGAATATGGATTATGGTATGCTAACCCTGCATCGAGCACATTGCCAAAGTGATGTCTAAAGAATTGAAAGGGCAGCCAAAGTGAATATGGATTACGGTATGCTAACCCTGCATCGAGCACATTGCCATTCGCCCTTTTTACTAGGAAATTTTAATTTGATCCAAATAATATTAATCTTCTGCTATAAGCTTTGCTTCCCCATACACATTATACTGTCAATTACTGTTTACCTTAATAGCAAAGACCTCGTAATATACAGCCATAATCTCGTAATTTTAGGTAAGCTTTAGAAAAACCTTGTTAGTTGCAGCTAGCATCTACATACCAAACAAGCATGCATAATTCCTGCATTATTAATCATTGAAACCCTAGAATTAGGTAGGAGGGAGATGTTTTGCTAATTAAGGCTGTACCTTCTATTTTTAATTTAGTTATTATCTATATATACAAGAAGCTAGCCAAATCATTACCAAAGTGTGTTAGTTGTTCATTTCGATCAATTCCCAGAAAATTAAATGGAATTCTCAGATGCCATGGAACATTGGGTTCTATGTCTAGCAACCCCAATTTGAGCAAAAAAAAAAAAAAAAAAAAAAAAAAACGCACTAGTCCAAAAAAATTAAAACAAAAAAAACCCCTAACTCTACCCAAGTCGCCCCCAATCCAGCCGTCCGACTAATGAACCACCATCCCCCACCCCCCACACATACAACTCGCCTGATATGAAACACACATGCCTAACCACACACCCCCAACAACCGATTACCGCAAAACAAAGGATAAAAACAACGAAAAAAATTTGGAAACGACAAAAGGGGGGAAAAAATACCTCGACCTCCACCACTAGTTGGTGGTCCCCGGCGCTTGGCTTCACCATGGTCCCCACTGGCGACCATCGTCCGACTGCTGATGAAGAATGCGAATCGACGGCATGGGAGATCCTTGGCAGACGCACAATAACGAGAGAGAGACCGGGTAAGTCGCGTAATCTGATGGTGATTGTATTTCTGTAGGAATTGATCCGATTAAACAAAACTAAAAATCCAAAAATACCTCCTAAAATAAAACAGGTGACCGTATAATTAAAAAAGCACCATAAATAATTAAACAAATCATAGACATTCAATCCCAAAATCTAACAATCCTAATGAATCCATACGTTTGTATTTTAAGGACTGTTTGTATTTGAATAATATATATATATATATATATATATATATATATATATATATATATATATATATATGTATGTATGTATTTTGGATATATAGAATAATATTTTATATACTTTTGTGTGTATATATAAATATTATTTTGCGATATTAAATCGACTTTGGTTCATTATTTTCAACAATCTAGCATAAAAAGTTGTTCAAAGAGGCAAACGTATAAGGATAAAGTAATTTTGTGAGGCTTAGCTTTGAAAAAGAAAACTAAACAACAACAAAAATGATACAACTTTCATCATATCAAATACGGAGTACTAATTAAATATGCAACTATTACTATTAGTCAATATTATATTAAATTTATGTCTCAATAAGAATTGATCTAATCAATTTACTATTTATTAATTTTAAGAATTAATAGGCATCTAATTAATATAATCAAATGAATTTAATTATGACTGCATATCAAAGAAAATACACAACAACTATAAACGAATGATCATACACACACACACACAAAGATTAATTATAATAAAATTAAAATATAAATTGTTTAAATTAATTTTTATTAACTGGATCAAACACAATTGATCGAATAAATGGAGTATGTTAAAAAAAAAATATAACGACAATGTGGGGATTCGAATCAAACTAGCAGTATGTATGGAAAATAGTTCAAGGGTGTTGGAAGGTTTGGATTGGATCCTTGTGCGCACATGAAGGCTAGCATTTGACCGATTGACTGATTGCACGACTCGTAATTTATCTATGCAGTGGCTCTAGGGGCAGGGTCTTGTGGGTTTAGAATTAATCCGGCAAAGCTGGAATTACCTAAGTTTTATTTTTTAAAATACTAAAATTGATGTAATATTGTTCCTTTTATTTGCGTAACAGTTGTCAACGAGAAATGAGATTCAAACATGTGACCTACTTCGATACCAATTAATTATCAAGATCAAGTGATTGCCACTATGCCAAAAATTATAACTAGTAGCGAATTAGTAATTAACTTTATTTTTCTTTATACTCACGTAATAGTTAACGTCATGTTTTGATGACAGGATGTTAGACTCATCTTTTTTTCAAGCCCGGCCCCCATAAAACAATTGCATTCTATATATATATTTTTTAATTTGACTACACATATGTATTTAAAATCAAATGATAATTATTAAATGAAGATTCTAAATTAGTTAAAATATTTCATTATATCAATAATAGCTCCATAATCAATCATAATTCAAAATCCAATGTGGTAATTTATTTATTATACACTTGTATTCAATTTTTAATCACATCAAATAAGTAAATACACTTTAGAAGTTCTTATTTAAAAGAAAAAAATAGTAATTATCCATTCATAGAGTAATACTTTTGTTAGATACTTCTTATTGATCAAATAAAATATAAACAAACGAAAGGAAGAAAGAAAGAGTCGTTTAATGTTACATACAATTTGTTATCTAAGGTGTATAAAAGAAAATGGAATTACATTAGAGATAAGATTTGTCAATCTTTTGAGTAATACTGAGTCGTGGATTATGGGTATGCTCTAAATGTTGGAAACAGGTGCTTGTATTCTATAATACATTTGAGATACAAACAATAATACAGAATACAACAGGGAATAAAAATTGGATCATTTGATATCTTCAGGTGTGTAATCACTTTCCTATAAGCTTTAAATCTCCCTCTATAAAAGCAACAAGGTTCAAGATTTAATCTTATGGGATACAAGAAGATGAATGAAACTCTCAAGTTGCTCTGTTTGAGAATTTCTTGTAAAATTGTAAGCCTGTGAAATATCATGGTGTCCTGCAAGTTGATTGCCTCCATCAATTGCATGTTTTCCTTTTTTTCTTTTTTCTCTTTCTGTATTCTTCAGATGTCTCTCCAAGAATTTATAGATGTAAAAATCTAACCGTTTGGAGAAGTTGCATGGAAGTTGCTGTGATTTAAAACTCAACTTCCATAAGATAAGATATATCCTGAATGATATATCCATCACTGGAGAAATTAATATATTTATTTTGAGTCAGTAACTATATGCAAAATTATATACATATATATACTTATATATTCCTTACATGAAACCATGCAAAGGATAAATATAAATAATATACATATATGTAGTTCAATAATCTCAAGCATACAGCTACATATAACAAGCATGTTAAGTGTAACTTTGAAGCATATAGCTTCAAAATGCATAAAACCTTACGCATGAAAAATATCCAAACATGCATTAATACTCTCAAACATATTAGCTATAACTCTCAAGCATATTAGCTATATATCACAAGCATATAGCTATATACTCTCAAGCATATTAGCTATATACTCTCAAGCATATTAGCTATATATCACAAACATATAGCTATATACTTTCAAGCATATTAGCTATATATCTCAAGCATATAGCTATATACCACAAGCATATAGCTATATATCACAAGCATATAGCTATATAAATTTCTCCCAGTATTTTAATTAACTTTCTACCAAACTAAAATAATATTTACAACTCCACAACTCCAAATATTATTTAAGCTTTCATGGTAATTCATCTGAAACATTAATCTCCATTACTATATAAATTTCCAACATTCCTCCTCCATTTATATAGTAAAGACTAATACTTTACCAAGATAAATCCAAAACTCATGCATAAATGAAAGTGTCTTAGAGATTGAACTTTCACATAGTATTATATGCGTTACATTAATTCGGATTGTAGTGATGGACGAACCTTGAACCACGCAGTCTCTTTGAAGAAACGTAGATATAACACACACAAGTTTTACAGTCATTACAACTCACTGTAACTTGACACTATTATGCCCATGTGTCCATATCCATTAATGAGCACATACCAAGTAAAGCCCAAACTTGTTTGAAGCGGCCACACTTCATGCTCACAGAGGCTAATCTTTTATCTCATGCACTGCATCTTGCATTTTTTCAAAAGATCAGTTAAGAGTAAAAACTCATCCCTACAACAATGCAGAACCAAGCATCACCTTTTCTTTGGATACAATTTTAATTAAACTTTTGATGCTTGCAAATCACAAAATGAAGTACTCATCTACATTGAACTCAAGGTCTAACGTAATAACTTAGACGTGAGTTGAGCTTTCCTTCACTTGCAATTTTAATTTAGGCTTTTCGTATCTATTCCGATGAACCATGTCCCTTGCGAGGACTCTTGCAAACGGATCCGTCAAAACTGGGACTGTACCAAGTCCAGTGCTACAACACTATTACCTAGGATTTTCCACATAGCTAAATCTCAAGCCCATGTGCCTTCACTTGCCATTATAAACACTTGTTTATATGATATGGCCAGTGTAGTAGCATTGTCATAATGTACTAAACTGGTGACATCGGTTTTTGCCAAACCGGAATCTAAATAATTAAATTCCTTAGTCAATAAATTCTTTCATGTCAAAGCCAACACAAGAAATTTAGATGCCGTAGTTGAAAAAGCAACTTTGCTTTTAGAACCCATAAAACAACACCTCCTCCAAGTAGAAATATCCATCTACTAAATGAGGAACAAGTTTCATGATTACACATTCAACTGGCATTAGAATATCTTTTCAGGATGAAAATTTCTATTAAATATACTAAACCATAATTAATGGTTTTACTCAAGTATATCAAAATTCCTTTTAGTGTCATCCACTTAGCTAACTGAACATGATGATAGATAGAATTTTAATATTCTATTAATGAACTGGTGAAATAAAATATTCAATTGATTATACCGGAACCCACTTAATAGGTTCCTAGTCAATAAATATTTATATCCTGCAAATTCTACAACCAAGAATTTCAATCATCAAGTTGAACTTATTAGCAGTGAGGACTCCTTAAAATAAAAATTCAACCTCCTCCATTTGAGTCATCATCAACTTTGGAGAATAAACCTCGCTCCTCCATTCAGAGAACATCAACTTTGGAGAATAAACCATTTTGATTTTAAACTTTTAACTTTTCATGTTTCTTCTAAACTGAAGAATCATGACATCTTAAATCATAATCCATGATTTAAATTTAAACTTTCTTTTTCACTACTAATTGCCAGCCATACTAGATAAACTAGTAAACTTTTTGGCTTTCAAAATTTTAACACATTCTCAATATGAGAAACTGTGTGTTAAATACATTCATAAATTTGTATGAATTTCATTATGCATACTTCATGCATAAAAGTTTCTGTATGCCTTTATCAGAAATATAACAGAATATTTCAAAGGCTTCCTACCTTAATCAGAAATATATATAACATAATATTTCACACTTTCACAAGGATAAAATTATATGTGTGCTAAAATAATCAATAATTTCATGCATGACATTGAAATTAATTCCAACTTACAATCATTAAACATTGTAACCATGCATAAGGAAACAACAAATTGATAACACCAAATTAATTCAAATTTGGCAAATTTATAGCACCTCAAGATCCAACATATTATATATGTATCTTGTATACTATGAATGCAACCGAGACAAAGTCTCAATATACAAATATTTATACACATGCATAAATATATCCTTGTATTTAACAGGATTTGCAAAACTCAAAAAGGTCTCATGCAAATCTTCTAGACATAATCCAGAACTAAACCAGTAAGTAAAATAACACTTACAATCCTGCCGAGACCGAGACAAATAAAAAGTACTGTACCGATCACATCAGGTAACTTGTATCTGCCTCGATAATCCATCTCTTCCGGCCTTTGATGTGCTAAAACCACTCACCCCACCGTGGAGAGAACATCTCTTCTCATTCCAAATAAATCATGGCTAATAAAATGATTTATTTATATAAAATCATTTTCACATCTCACTAATCATCTTGGCATAATTTGATATGCCCATGATTTTGAGTGAAAACAGAAATGAAACTTCATAGCATATATTCAAACCACATGTACAACATGTACATAGCATGCCATGAATACCATGCAAAACTGCACAAAAATCTTCTTGTACAATAAAAAGAAAGTGATTTATGTCATCCTTACCACCAAATTCGAAATTCTCATTTCGAAATATTTCTGTGATAGGAAACTGTTTTTTAACGCCAAACATCTTGTCTTCAAACCTTTCAAGACAAGACCAATGATCACAGGTTTATAATTTTAAAGCTTATATATTGTTGGAAAAAGGTGCTTGTATTCTGTAATACATTTGAGATACAACAATAATACAGAATACAACAGGGAACAAAAACTGGATCATTTGATATCTTCAGGTGTGTAATCACTTTCCTATAAGCTTTAAATCTCCCTCTATAAAAGCAACAAGGTTCAAGATTTAATCTTATGGGATACAAGAAGATGAATGAAACTCTCAAGTTGCTCTGTTTGAGAATTTCCTGTAGAATTGTAAGCCTGTGAAATATCATGGTGTCCTGCAAGTTGATTGCCTCCATCAATTGCTTGCACTAAAACCTATACATGTTGCACGTTCGAATTGAGTGGATGTTATTCAAGGTTAGGTTGTGTTGGTTAATTTACGGTAGCCAATAAATAAGAAGTATTTCACTATCACATAAGGCCATAAATATTACATTATTACGGAGTACAAGGTAAACTCAAGAAGGAAAAATAACATTATTCTTAAATTTATAGAGTAAACATTATCTTGATCTTCAACTTGATCAGTTTGATCTTCAGTCTTGTAGTACTCTAGCTCGATCACTCTGATCCCTTATTAACTTGATCTCCTAATAAATAATAATGTATGTCCATGTGTTATTCCTTCCATGAAATACAATATTTTTAGCTAAATTAATAGTTAATACCGCAATATGTTGTCCCAGTGCCGGTTTTATTTGCTGATTAACAGACTAATTAAGGAAATGTATCTGGTGTATAAGTCTCAAGCTTTAAAAGAACAACAGGACGGACATATAAGAAGCTAATTGGCCTGTGAACACTGAAGTGAAGTGTTCTGCTAACCTTCAATAGTTCCATGCATGCTTGCCATAAGCATGTAATTAGATGTGTCAACTTCTCAAAGTTCAACACAAAACAAATTCCAAAAAAAAAAAAAAAAATCAAGGCTTCATCTACACTCCTATGTTTTTGGTGAACAATGATACAATAGAGTTCTTTGCTCCATTTTTTCCCCATGAAAGGCTAACACAATATCCCACATCGAAACCAGATGAGGAATATTTCTTCTTAATAACTCTATAGCTAGAAGTCTTGTTTGTTGGGCTTGGTAGCGTGAGCCTGTAACCCAAGTGGGAGCAATAAGTTTGTGGGATAATTAGGCTTACCTTGATGGCTGGGCTTGGGGCTGTTCTAAGTGGTGAGTTGGGCTGTGGAGTCTTTGCGAAGGCAGAGGCTTCTTGGCCCTTAGATTGGAGGGCACTGCGTTATGCTGGTTTCACAGAGCAGCGAACACTTCCTCCTCTCTGCAGTGGAAGGATAATGAGCCGGAGCATCCAAAGTCGGGACGTTATGCTATGGAACCGTGTTCACCACTTCCTCCTCTCTGCATGGAAGGATAACGAGCCGGAGCATCCAAAGTCGGGACGTTATGCCATGGAACCGTGTTCACCACTTCCTCCTCTCTGCAGTGGAAGGATAACGAGCCGGAGCATCCAAAGTCGGGACGTTATGCCATGGAACCGTGTTCACCATTCTTGGTGAACATGGTTTCAACGGTGTTAGTACACCGTTATTTTTTTTTTTTTTTTTTTTAATTAATTGCGTGACTTTTCTTCTTTATTTTCACATTTTGCGGTTTCACTTTAATTTGAAGTGAACAAAGATTTCGGACATTCGTAAATTATGAATTCATGCCTGCACATTCACTTTGGAACCATGCCTACACATTTCCGTCCGAAATCACGGACATTCATAAATTATGAATCCATGCCTGCACATTCACTTTGGAACCATGCCTACACATTCACTTTGGAACCATGAGATTATGAATTTTCAGTTATGAGATTATGAATTTTCTGTTATGCGATTATGAATTTTCTGTTATGAGATTATGAATTTTCATTACATTCATAATTTCGGACATTCATAAATTATGAATTCATGCCTGCACATTTACTTTGGAACCATGCCTACATATTCCTGTCCGAAATCACGGACATTCATAAATTATGAATCCATGCCTGCACATTCACTTTGGAACCATGCCTACACATTCACTTTGGAACCATGAGATTATGAATTTTCTGTTATAAGATTATGAATTTTCTGTTATGAGATTATGAATTTTCAGTTGTGAGATTATGAATTTTCTATTATGCGATTATGAATTTTCTATTATGCGATTATGAATTTTCTATTATGCGATTATGAATTTTCTGTTATGAGATTATGAATTTTCATAAAATTCATAATCTCATAACAGAAAATTCATAATTTGATCAAACGCGCGCCGTTAACTCCACATCCGCGAATTTTTTTTTTTTTTGCCTAAAAACGACGTCGTTTTGTCTTGTGTTCACCATTCTCGGTGAACAGGATTCCATGGCATAATTTGCGCCCAAAGTCCTGATGGGTTCTCTAAATTGAACCACCATCTTTTTCCTTATGGGCCACATAGAAAGTAGTCATTTTCACCTTGAATTCGGCGAGGTAGCGGTGGTAGTCGCCCTTCGTCTTGAAGTGTGGATGGTTATACTGAGGTGTGCTGGTATGTTATATTTCCTGGAACAATGGTGAACTTGGCATAATAGTTTCTAGTTTTAGATCAAATTATGCACTAAGAATGGAAAGAGGTCATGTTTTGTTTACCTCATTTTATAGAGAGCAGGAATTGTATCTAAAGAATTCACCAATCTATAAAGGCAGCATTATATTGCTTTAGATATTTCATTTGACACCCAAACTATTAACATTCAACCACTGGACAATAGCAAAAAACATAAATGAATGGAAGGTCATAAATAACAGCACCTGCCCAAGTTGAGGTTCCCACTTCAACCAGTGGACAATAGCAAAATATTTTTGTCCCTCGAAATATGAAAAATGCTACAAAGTATAGTTTTAAGGGTGATGCATGCTTTCAGCAAATTAAAATTCATCTATTAAATATCTTTCTAAATTGAAGTGGTAAATGGTTCACAAAAAGGATGAGATTTTACAAGATTGTTAACATTATGGCAATTTTTATAATGCAAATGACTCAAACCTAACCCATCTCTGCCATTCCGTTCAGTGAAGCAAAGCTTCCAGGCTGTCTCTGCTTCACATATAAGCCCCCCTTCGACAAAAAAAACGATGCAATTTCCATATAAAAAAAACCAACGCTTCATCTACATTCCTAAGTTTTTGGTGAACAATGATACAACGCAAATCTCATTCTCTGCTCCATTGTTTCCCCATGAAAGGCTTGCAAAATTTCCCACATTGGAATCAGATAAGGAATATTTTTTCTTAATAAGTCCGTACGTAGAAGCTTTGTTCGCTGGGCTTGGTAGTGTGAGTCTGTAACCCAAGTGGGAGTATTAAGATGGTGGAATAATTGGGTTTACCTTGAAGGTTGGGCTTGAGGTGTTATCTACTGGCTTGCCTATTCCAAGTGATGAGTCCGGCCGTGGAGTCTCTGCGAAGGCGGAGGCCTCACATCCTTTAGACCGGAGGGCACCGCGTCAGGCTGGTTTCACAGAGCAGCGAACACCTCCTCCTCTTTGCAGTGGAAGGACAACAGGTCGGGGCATCTTCAGTCCGCTAGCGCCCGATTGGTTGTCCGAATTAAACCACCATCTTTTTCCTGTTGGGCCTGGGGGCACGTAGAAAAAGCCAAAGAGGAACCTTATACTACTGAAGTCATTTTTACAGCAGCGTTCTATTAGCATTAATTATGGAGTATCAGGTATGTTTCTCAAAATTTTTAATCATTCATTCTCTATTTTTTTTTTTTTTAATTTTCTAATTTAGAAAAACACGTTTTACAAGCACATTTTTCTTACATTCATTTTCCAAATCTAACTTTTTAGACTTACATCACATACATAAAACATTATAAAGTTATTCAAAAATTCAAATGATTTTTTAAAATTAAATGTTGAGGCCAATGACCTCGTGGTCTAGTGACATGAAGTGGCTCTCCCAAATGGGAGCTCATGGGTTCGAGCCCTAGTGGGGCGGTATTGACTCTTTGTGGTTCAGTAGGTTAAGAAAGTAGCTACGAATATGTTTCGTAGGTGTCCACTAAAACTAGTGGTTGAATAAAATGATAAGTGTAAAGACACATAAAAGGACTTTTTAAAAGTTTATAAATCCAAATTTAAATAGTGATATATATTGCAATTTAAGGTCTAAATATATATCACATTTATAATCTAGCATCCCATAATAAAGTAGCAATATTATTTCAAATATCCTTCATCTCAGTAGTTGACTCACTTAAATTTTCGTTGTCGGTGCTAGTAGAACTAAAGCGATATGTAATTTGGATGCTGCTCGAACATATTAAACATCATGTTATCTTGTGAGTTCTTCCGAATGTAATTATGCAAATAGGAAGTATATAAATATAAAACATCATATTAAGCCGGAGCATTCTCGGTCCACTAGCGATTGATGGGCCGTCCAAATTGAAACACCAACATTTTCTTGTTGGGCCAGATTGATGGGCCGTCCAAATTGAAACACCAACATTTTCTTGTTGGGCCAGTTAGCATGGGCCACATACCCGTACAATGATGAAGAATTTAGTATGCTAAATGAGATTGGTAGTGTGAAGTGAGGCAATTATGCTATGGAACCGTGCCAACCTAGCAAGGTGGGCACAGTTCCACAACGGCGTCGTTTTTGTTGAAAACGACGCCGTTCTAATTAAAATAAATAAATATTTTTCACTTGTTAACGGTGTTTCTCTCTTCGCAATTGCACA